CTTATTTACAAAACAGAAACAGATTCAGACTTAGAGAATGATCTTATGGTTACAGGGGGGAGGGTGGGGGAGCGGATGGATTGGGAGTTTGGGACTGACATGTACACACTGTTATATTTAAAATAGATAACCAACAAGGACCTACGGTATAGCACAGGAAACTGCTCAATATTCTGTAATAACCTAAATGGAAAAAAGAATTTGAAAAAGAATAGGTACATGTATAACTCAATCACTTTGCTGTATACCTGAAACTAACACAACATTATTAATCAACTATACTCCAATATAAAAACAAAACAAAACAAAAAGGTGTAAATCTTTGTGACCTTGGATCAGGCAACAGTTTCTCAGATGTGACACTTAAAGCACAGGCAACCAAAGAATAAAGTGATAAACTGGACTTTATAAAAATCAAAAAAATTTAAAAGAACCCACAGAATGGGAGAAAAATGTCTGCAAGTCACATATCTGATAAGGGTCTACCATCCAAAATATATAAAGAACTCTTACAACTCAACAATTAAAAGACATTAAATAACCCACTTTAAAAATTGGTAAAGGATCTGAGTAGACAGCTCTCCAAAGAAGACATACAAATGGCCAATAAACACATAATAAGATGCTAAACATTATTAGCCATTAAGGAAATGCAAATCAAAATCAAAATGAGGTACCACTTTCACACTTACTAGGATGGCTATTATCAAAAAACAAAAAATAGGGCCTTCCCTGATGATGCAGTGGTTAAGAATCTGTCTGCTGATGCAGGGGACATGGGTTCGAGCCCTGGTCCAGGAAGATCTCACATGCCGCGGAGCAACTGGGCCCGTGCGCCACAACTACTGAGCCTGCACTCTAGATCCCACGTGCCACAACTACTGAAGTCCGCAAGCCTAGAGCCCGTGCTCCACAACAAGGGAGGCCACTGCAATGAGAAGTCCGCGCACCACAAGGAAGAGTAGCCCCTGAACGATGCAACTAGAGAGAGCCCACGTGCAGCAACAAAGACCCAACACAGCCAAAAATAAAACAAATAAATAAATAAATAAATAACGTGTTGGTGAGGATGTGGAGAAACTGGAGCCCTTGTACACTGCTGGTGGGAAGAAAAAGTGGTTCAGCACTGTGGAAAACAGTCTGGTGGTTCTTCAGAAAGTTAAACATAAAATTACCATATGACCCTGCAATTCCACTCATAGCTATATATCTCAAAGATATGAAAACAGGTACTTACAAATACACATACAAGTGTTTATAGCAGCACTAATCACAACAGCCAAAAGGCAGAAACAATGCAAACATCAACAGATAAAGAAATTGTGGTATGTGTGTGTGTGTACATATATATACGTGTGTGTGTGCATGTATACACACACACATACGTATATTGGGTTGGCCAAAAAATTCGTTTGGGTTTTCGGTAAGATCTTACCGAAAACCCAAACAAACTTTTTAGCCAACTCAACACACACACACAAACACACACAAAATGAATATTACTCAACCATAAAAAGGAATGAAGTACTGATACATACTGATACAAAAACATGGATGACCCTCAAAAACATTATGCTAAGTGAAAGAAGCCACATACAAAAGATCACATATTGTATGATTATATTCATATGAAATATCCATAATAGGTAAATCCATAGAGACAGAATGCAGAGTAGTGGCTGTCAGGGGCTAGGGGAAGGAGGGAATAAGGAGTGATTGCTTAATGAGTATGGGGTTTCCTTTTGGGGTACTGAAATGTTTTGGAACTAGACAGAGGTGGTGGTTGCAAAATATTGTGAATATTGTACTAAATGCCACTGAATTGTTCACTTTTAAATGGTTGATTTTATAGTGTGTGAATTTCACCTCAGTTAAAAAAAAAGAACCTCAATGAGATACTTCACACCTACTAGGATGGGTGTAATTTTTTTTTAAGTTTTTTTAAACAAGTTTAGGTGAGGACGTAGATAATGGAATGCTCATACATTGCTAGTGGGATTGTAAAATGGTGCAACTACCTTACTTGTAAAACAGTTTGGCAGTTTCTCAAAATGATAAACAGAGTTATCACATGACCCAGTAGTTTTGTTCCTGGAGAACTGAAAACATATGCTCACAAAAAGAATTGTACACAAATGTTCATAGCATTATTCTTAATAGCCAAAGAATGGAAACGGCTTAAATGTCTATCAACTGATGAATGGATAAATGAAGTGTGTTATATTCATGCAATATTATTCGGCCATAAAAGAAATGAAGTACTTATATACACTACAATATGGACAAACTTTGAAATCATCATGCTAGGAAGCCAGACCCAAAAGGCCACATACTATTTGATTCTATTTACATGACGTGTCCAGAACAGACAAATCCATTGAGGTAGAAAGTAGAATAGTAGTTGCCAGAGGTGGGCAGGGGTAAATTGGGAGTGACTCCTAATGGGTACTAGGCTTCTTTTTAGGATGATAAAAAAGGTTCTAGAATAAGATAGTGGTGGTATTTGTGCAAACTTGTGAATATACTAAGAAATCACTAACTTGTATATTTGAAGAAGGTGAATTTATGGTATATTAACTATATCTCAATAATAAAAGGTACTGAAACAATCAGATGATCCACCTAAAAATAAATGAACCTTGGACTACATCTTGCATGATATACAAAAATTAACTTGAAGTGGATCATACATCTAATATTGAACAAAAAAGTTCTAGAGAACAAAGGAGAAAATCTATGTAATCTTAGATTAGGCAAAAATTTCTTAGCTACAACACAAAAAGTATCATCCATAAAATTTGAAAAATTGATAAACTGGACTTAATCAAAATATAAAACTTCTGCTCTTTAAAAGAGCATGAAAAGGCATAATATAGAAGAAAAGTAGGTAAAGCACATATAAAATTTGTTTATATACAAATAGCAATAACTATTACATGAGAATTAATATGACACTATTTTTAAAGCTCTGAAAAATAAATTATAAGAAAACAAACAACTGAATTAAAAATGGTTAAAAGATTTGAAGAGACACTTTAAGTTGCTGATGGCAAATAAGCAGATGAAAAGGTACTCAATATTACCAGTCACTGGAGAAAAGCAAAGTCCACCACAATGACATACCCCTACACACCAATCAGAATGGCTGAAACTAAAAGAACTGACAATGCCAAGTGCTGGTGAGAGTGCAGAGAAACTGGGACTCATATATTCCTGGTAGGAATGCAAGATGGCACACATCCTTTGGAAGACAGTGGAACATATATTTACTGTAGGATCTAGTAGTCCAATTCCTGATATGTATCCAAGAGAAATAAAAATACATGTTCACATATGAATATTTATACAGGTTTTTTCATAACTGCCAACATCTGGAAACAACCCAAATGTTCTTCAATTGGCAAATGGGTAAAGAAATTGTGATATAACAGAACATAAACTACTGATACATACAGTAACATGCATGAATCTCAAATCTCAAATGCTCTATACTAAATAAAAGAAGCCAGACTTATAACGTTACATATTGTATGATACCATTTATATGATATTCTGGAAAAGATATAACTACAGCGATAGAAAAACAGATCAGTGGTTGCCAGGGGATGGGGATGGAGGAAGAGGATGACTACTAAAAGGCACAAGGGAACTTGCCGGGGTGATAGAAATGTTCTATATTTCGATTGCTGTGGTGGTGGTTACATGATTGTGTTTGTCAAAGCTCACAGAACTGTACAGTAAAAAAAGGGTGAATTTCACTCTAATTTATAACTCAATAAGCCTGACTTTAAGAAAACATAGCTTTACAATGAGTACACATGTAAAAAATATCAAGTTAGGCCAAAAAACGGAACTCTGTAGAAGCACTGTCATTTGGCTTAATAGAACCTCTCTAACGAGCAAGTATCTTTCAGCCCCATGAACATACACTTAGTCTACATTAAAACAAATGAAATCAGAGAAGCAAAATAATAATACCATGTTTTAATCACAAATAGCATTTGCCTTAGCCATGAAATATTCACTAGCATTTTAAAGCAAAAAGTATTAATGAACTTAATAGTATCCACCAAATTCCCAAATTTTAAAAAACATATTTGAGGCCACATTGACACCAGCAAAGTCCTTGCCACAGGAAGTCAGCTTTATTTAAAAGATTTTTTGGGTGGACTGTTTTCAAATCACTAGATATGAGTGACTAAACCACAGAAGGTACCTGCCAGCTTAGTGAACTGTCTTTGAGCTCCAGCTCAGAATTTAGCTTTTCTTCTCTCCCCAGTTCTTAAACTAAAAGTTCACATATATGGTACTAAGAATGCTATTTAGTTGAGTCAAGAAACAGTCAAGGCTTGATGACTATATCCGACACCTGTTGCTGGGTTTATTGAATGGGGATGGGCTGATAGTCCTTGATGCTCCAGATATATTCTCTAGATGATAGTGATACATAATCTTTACCCTCTTCAAATTTTGAAATGCAAAGAGCAATGTCTTAAAGATTTTTTTTGTTTGAATAAGGATTTTATTTGTTTCTATGGCCATTCTACCTTCATAGAACCCAGAAAGGGGTATCTCACAAATAAAGTGGCAAGTGCTAACAAGTTAGGAAGCTTAAATTAGTTTTTTTTTAAAAAAAACAAAAAACAAACAAAGAAAAACACCAGCATCGTCAGCAATCATCCCTTTGCAGCCCACAGGCCCATTAGCTCACTCTCAGGGGACTCCCTGGCTAAGCTACTCGGTGAACACTAGGGTCCGAGGCAGTGATGACTCACTGGCAAACACGAGATGCTCAACAAGCAAACATTCCCCAGACGCAGCCTTATGCTGAAGTGACTGGAGTGCTCCAAGTGCATCCAGCTTTGTGGCTTCTCTATTTCCCCCATGTTTTGGTATTCAACAAAATAACCCATCTCCTCATTAAGATAAGCTGATACAGGAGGCAGCAATACAGAAGGAATTAAATATAATGACATAACAACAAATAAAATGTGGAATACCTTGCTTTTAGCTAATTCCTTTTCCAAGTTGCATTTTTCTTCTGCTATTTCTTTCTCGGTTTTATTAACCTGCCCAAGAGAAGGGAAAAAAAGAAATGGGTCATTTTAAAAACAGCTGACAGGCTCTACTATAGCAGATACACCCTGCATGTCAATTAATACCTACACTGCAGAGATAGCACATCCACTCAGAAAAGGGGCTACTCGGGGAGTCTCTGAGGCAGAGCAGACTTCACAAATAGCCCTGAAATTAGAGAGACACGTCTACATGTCAGACTCTGCTGGTTCTTTCCTAACTAGGAAGACAGGGCTGTTTCCCCTTACATTGTTTCCACTACACTGTCCCACTCCTACTGGGAAAATCGAGTTTTAAATCTGACTCCTTAACTAACATGAGGATGTGTGAATGGTTAGTTAACATTCACTCATGCTATATAAGGGTAACTATTTGGCACAGTGCACTCACATGCTAAAAGACACAGATTAGCCACCCAAAGATCTCTTTCATGGGCAACTCAGACAAACTGCATCTGGGTTGTATTTCTTGTCTTTTGCACTTACAATAAAATTTTAAAACAAGATCACCACCACAACCAGGAGGTAACATAAATCTGCCTCTACCTACCTCTCTCTGAAGTCCTTCTTTCTCCTCTAGCAGAGAGGTCTTCTCTTGTATTGATGCTTCCAGTTCACTTCGCAATCTTGCAATAGTTGATTCTAGCAGCTCTTTTTGCACAGCTGCCCTCTTCTCAGCATCCTGTGCTTTCTGGATACACTGGTTATGCTCAAGGACTAAATGGTCCCTGCAGGAAGAGAACAAGGAGATATGAAAGCTGAACGAGAGTTCTTCTTTAACAGAAAGACTAAATGTTCTTACACAACATATCTCCTCCTGAGAGCAGTTACCGAAATGTTCTAACAAAACTAGTTCCTTTTGGGCAGAGTCTTTATTTTTGTGACTGGCCCAGCAAATGCAGAATTAAACATTTTCATTAAAGATAAGAAATACAAATGCAAAAACAAAAGATGCAAAAGTTGCCCACAGTTTTACTTACAGATGCATTTGGAGTTGTGTTTTCTCATTCTGAACAGTCTGTAGCTCATTTGTGATACCGGCATGGGCTGCATCCAGCAGTAAGTTTTGTTCTTGAAATGTCTGTGTCATCATTTTCTGTTCTTCCTGAGTGTTAGAAGCAATATTAAAAGTTGAGATGCCAGAAGTCATTTGATAGGGTATCACTCTAAACAACTGATCAAAGATACTGATACTTACAAAAGACAAATTTAATTTATATAAATAAAACTCCTTTTTAAAAGAATTTATCTTAATGTCCAGCTTGCTCTTTGTACCTACCCTGACCTGACCACAATTCTATCATTTTATAGCTCTTCTAGCCAATAATCAAGATGCATTATTTATCCAGCTTGCTGCAAAATTTATAAAACTCCTAACATGAACACATTTTTAGATACCATGTATAAAATAGACAACTGATAGGAACATACTGTATAGCACAGGGAACTCTACCCAATGCACTGTGGTAACCTAAATGGGAGGGAAGTCCAAGAGGGAGGGGATATCTGTATGTGTATGGCTGATTCATTTTGTTGTGCAGTGGAGGCTAACACAACATTGTAAAGAAACCATACTCCAAAAAAGATTTTTTTATAACTATATTAAGTATATTTTGGTACTTTAAAATTTCAACATGATACTATATTTTAGAAAGTAAAACAATATCAACGTATATAAAGTGAAATGATCGCTCCACCTCTATCTCCCCCACATCTCTTCCAAATAATTCCATTCTCCAGGGACAATCATGTTTCATAGTTTAGTGTAAATTCTTTTGACAGTATCTGAAATTGCACTCAGATATTGCTACAGCAAAAGTCTATAACTGTTTTGCACAATTTTCTCTGGCTTACTATTTTCAATTATCAAAACAGCATTTTTATGCACACCTCCTCTACCTACAATTTATAAAGCTTTTGTAAATATAGTACATATTAATAATTATATTTGTAAACATATTTTAAAACACTTCTTTTTGAACAATATTTGATTGCAAGGTAAACCTTCACACCTTCATACTTGGTAAAATGGGATCTCACTTGTGTCACATTCCAAAGTATTAAAATGTTTGTGAAAGTGTTACATACGTAAGTCACATTATTCAGTCTACTAAATTGTAAGTTCCATGAAAGTAGGGACTTGTCTTGTTCACTGCCATAATTCTATCTAGATCTAGCAACATACTTGCATGAGATAAACACTAAATGCTTGCTGAATAAAAAATACTTATTGAGTACCTGTTATGTGCAAAACACGCTTAGCCCTATGGGTAATAACAAAGATATGTAAGACAATGTCCTAGGAATGTAGTACAGGAAATGAGCCATGCACATAAACTACTACTATAGGATGCAGAACAAGAGAAGCAACATAACATAAATGATTAAAAACACTGAGTCTGGAGTCAAATCTAGATTTAAATCTGGCTCCACCCTATACTAGCTGGGTGATTTTGGGCAAGTTGATTAACTTCTCTAAATCTTATTTTTATTATCTGTAAAACGAGGATGACAAATATCCCTTTACGTAACTGCTAGGATTAAAGAAGGTAATATATGTAAAATCCTTAGCACAATGCTTGGTATGTAGTAAGTATGCTCAAAAAAAAAGAGAGAGAGCCTTATTATTACAGCCTGTTTAGTGTCCTAGAAGTAGAAATTAAAAGACAAAACTGATTCTTTCTGATTGGAGTGATCAAGCTTCTGGGTGAAAGTGAGTCTTAAAGAATGAACACAATCTCAAACAGTTGAAAATGAAGTAAAGACCATTCTCAGCAGAGGGAATGGCATAAGCAAAATGGGAAAACACAGGTCTTTGGGGAAAAGGTAAATACTTTAGGGTCAGTCATAAGTATTCTCCATGATTCTATCGATACTGGGACAGGTAATTACTTTTCCTAAAGTAATGATATTTGAGAAGAAACCATTAAGAAAGCATTGAGTGTAAGGCCAAATGACCCCTCTGATGAAAACAGAAAACAATTAAAAAATAAAATAATTCAGAAAAATCCTTGAAACTAATTGCTAAAATATTTTATGTATCCAGTTGGCTATTTGTATTTCCTGATCTCTTAGCCAAGGAGGCTTCCTGATGACTCTACCAGAAATTGACTAGTGTTAAAAATGAATACCTGCAGAATGGCTTGGTGGTCAGCAATGATTCTGGTATTTTCCATTCTAACAGTCTGAAGCATTCTGTTCAGCTCTGCACACTTTCTAGTCAGTTGGTCATTCAAAACCTAAGACAACATATACAGCAAATCACAGATCTCTCCAATAAATAAGTCTTTTTACTCACGTATCATCATTTTTAACAATGGCATAGTATTTCACCATACATGTGAACCTAATTTATTTAACCTAATCCCAATTGATATTTCATTAGATTATAAAATACTTTCAAATATTTGCAGTCATCATCCTAAACAACTGTAAATTAAAAGGGGAAATTTGTTGATACAGTGGAACAACTGAAGCATTTGGCAGTTTACCAATCTTCCATTCTTCATAATTTTGAATGCTGGTCAATTACAGCAAGACATCTACAGAATGGAATTTACAATGTAGATGCATGGCCAATGTTTCATTCTCAAAACTGGATGATGAGCTTTCAGAATTGTTTAGCTGATAAAAAAATATCTAAGCTCCTTCATCACCAATTACGGTATTCAAAAAAGCAAATACAGATCACTGTGCCATTTCACAAGATTAACCTTCCAAAATAAAACAAAAATCTTTTCTGTAACACATCTATCATACATATAGTTAGTTTATAATTCTCTTGCCCTTTTGGTATTTTGAAATTTGTATTCCTGTGGAAAATATTTATCTTAATTCTCAGTTATTTTTGCAAAGTATATTTGGTAAGGATCTTATGTTTTAATGTATAAACTCTTTAAGGATGGGGCAAATAACTCTGAAGGGTTAATAGAAAAAACACTCAAAAAAACAGTAACAAGAAAGGAGAGATAAAGATTATCTGGACAGCATCATAAGTGGGACAGCATCATAAGACAGGAATACATTCATGGGCATTTTAAAGTTATAACCAGGTGCACAAACTACTTATCAATGAATACTTGGGGGTAAGACAGAGGAGAACTCTTGCTCCTTGAAAAGAAATAGCTAATTTTCTTTACAGCTAGATTGGCTCAAATTCCAACTGTGTCACTTACTAGCTATATATATATATATATATTTTTTTAATTTATTTTTGGCTGTGTTGGGTCTTCTTTGTTGCATGCTGGTTTTCTCTAGTTGCAGTGAGCAGGGGCTACTCTTCATTGCAGTGCGTGGGCCTCTCATTGCGGTGGCTTCTCTTGTTGCAGAGCATGGGCTCTAGGCTCAACGGCTTCAGTAGTTGTGGCTTGCAGGCTCTAGAGAGCAGGCTCAGTAGCTGTGGCACACGGGCTTAGCTGCTCTGCAGCATGTGGGATCCTCTCGGACCAGGGCTTGAACCCTGTTCCTTGCACTGGCAGGCGGATTCTTAACCACTGTGCCACCAGGGAAGCCCTAGCTATATTATTAAACCTCTCTGTATATCAACTTTCTTATCTTTAAAATGGGAATAATAATAGTTCTAAAGAAGTCCTATTGAGAGGATTACAATTTGTTAGTAACATAAAGTGCTTAGAATTGTGCCATGACTGTAGTATGGATTCAGTAAATGTTAACTATCATTTATAGTAAGAGTAGTAGTAACTGTTATTATTTTATGAAAGATCACATTTTGTATTTTCTTTATCATAAAGAGAGCATAACAACACTATGATCCTAACATTGAAATAATCAAATTGTACTAACAAAAAATTCTTTTAAACGATGGATACTATTTCTTTGGGCCCTATGAGAAATAACTCGGTTGCTTGCATATGTGGTGACTCCTCTCCATGTACATGCATGTACAGAAAACGTCAGCTGAATTTGGGAACCACTATCCCACATAAAATGATTACACATAACTCCAAAATCAGCAAGTATTTATTAGGTTCCTACTGTGCTTTGCCATAGAAGATACAAAGAAAGTATAAGATAGCCCTTGGCATTGAACTGCTTAGAGTTTCATAGGGGGAAATAAAAGGCATACATTTAGTGAGTAAATCAGAAAGCAAACAAGGCAAAGTTTAAACTAGTGCATGTTTTAGCAGTATATCTCAAATACCTACGTATCACAGGAATTTAGAGGGTGAAATGGGAAATGTAGTTAATTTGATGATGTTTCACAAATGAAGTAAATCTTATGGAAATAAAAATTTTGGATGATGGCAATGGTATGAATTCATGTAACCAGGATTAATCTTGGTTCTTGGTTCTTTAACTGAACAAAATTAACATCTAAACACTAGAGAAATGGGAAGATTTACCTGTGCTTTTTCTGATGCTTCATGAAGGGATATTATTTCAGACCTCAAATATGCATTTTCTTCATGTTCCTTGTTGAAAGACATCTGTATATTCTACAGGAAAAAAAAATTCTCTTTTTCTACATGTAAAAGCTATTACATGTATCTCTATCAAAATACCTGTTCTGTATTGTGGCTAGTACCAGTTCAAGTGCTAATATACATAGATAAGTGTCTTATAAAGGATTTTTTAAAATCTTGATATATCCAACTCCCAAACTTCTCTTAATTTATAAATTATTTATCAAAACTATTTATTAAAAATATTCTCATACTGGGACTCCAATTAGAAAGAATTTGCCTAAAAACAAACCTTGATATTTACCTAGTACCCTTATGTCAAAAAAATTCTACTTTCTAAGATGAAATATTTTTAGTTTATGTTACATACACATTTCTTCCTATTAGCAGTATGAGCTTATTATTTCAAAGAAACACATGCAAGGATCTTTTAAAATTATAAGTAGGGGAAGAGATTTTCATCAAAGAATACCTGAAGGTGGAGCAGAAGAAAGCACCTTTGTTCTGTGAAAAAAAATGTTCTCTTTGAGATGAGGGAAAGGCGATAGGGATGTGAGTTGTGGGCTGGGTTTTACCTAATAGGTACTTAGTCGAATGGGGAAGAACAAAGTCTAAGTCCTCTCCCTTCAGAGAGACAACCACTTTTCTAGCTTTCCGGAAGAAGCATCTCAAGAAAAGTTAACATCATATAACATCTACACCATGAGATTGATTTAGAAATGTCTTGATATAAAAGTAGTAACATTTATTCTATTTTTTATTTTTTATTGTGGTAAAATACACTTAACAAAATTTATCATTTTAACCATTTTTAAGTCTTTTTAATGAAATGTCTTTTTTATTGAAGTATAGTTGATTTACAATATTGTGTTAGCTTCAGGTGCACAGCAGCGATTCAGTTATATATAATAATAATACTATTATTATATATTATATACAAATATACATTATATTATTATATAATTACATATAATAATATGTACTCTTTTTCAGATTCTTTTCCCCTGTAGGGGAAAGGGGCGGGGAAGGATAAATTAGGAGGTTGGGATTAACATATACACACTACTATATATAAAACAGATAACCAGCAAGGGCCTACTGTATAGCACTATACTCATTTTAACTATTTCTAAGAGTAAGTTCACTTAAAACTATTTAAGTGTTAAATTTAGTGGTAGTAAGTACATACACTCATGTTGTTGATAAACCATCACCAAAAATAGTTACTATTTCTTACATTTCATAAAAAAAGCTTCACAACAATTCATTTGCAATAGGTATAAAATGCAAATAAGTCTCATTAGTTTTGCCAATTCACCTTTTTTCAAACTATAATAATCTGCATGAAATACTTCCTAATACCCAGTTGACAACAGTTCTGAATATACACTCATTTACACTGAAACTTTTTTTAATAAAGACTTTAGGAGAATCAGAAGGACTGTAAACCAACATGAGTGAGGAAATACTATTTAGTGAAGAGATGAAAGAAAACCTCTGTACTCAAAACCTCCCTTATTTTCTTCAACCAACTTGGAAATGAGGTCATCTCTAGAAACTAAAAACAAAAAAAGTCCACATAACTATGATGATAACTTACAACTACATTGAAATCACATGGTATTTTCCCTGAGAAACTTTGATTTAAAAAAAATTTGTTTTAGTCTGTATTTTGCAGAAATAAGGAGAACACAAGTATTTCTATCATACTTTTATAGACTGGAAACTAAATCCTGAAATTATCAAGAAACTAGTCCACAGTCACGTACAATGGTAAATGAGGTCACATTTTACTCAATGCACAGATGATGACGAGTCTGAGGGATTTCAAGACAGAGAGGCACACAATCAAAAAGATCAAAATGCCTTTTGTTAGATTACTCTGACCAAGGCTCAATAAAGACAGGGAGGTCAGTTTAGTAGCTGTTGCAGTAACCCAAGTGTAAAACAATGAGAGCTGGCTCTGAGGTAATGATGCAGAAGGAAAAGACTTGTGAAAAGCAAGCAGGGAGAATTGTCAGGACTTGGTGACTGACTGGCGGGGTAAAGGCAGTAGATGAGTCAAGGAAAATATCTAGTGTACAGACCTGGACAGTGGGGGTGGTTGGTGGATTCTAACAGGGAACTCAGGGCAAGGAGCAGGTTTGGAGGATATAATAAGTAAAAACGACTGCAACACTTAAGCTTTCATCATGTGTTTTGAGGTATCTGCAAAGCATCTAAATATAGATGATTAGTTGGCAGTAAGATACCATCTGGAGCTCAGGAGGATGATTTGGTGTGGGAGAAATAAAAGATTTGAAACCACTCAGAGTATGTATATACAGTGAAAATAAAACCAAAGGCAGAAACAGGAGAACAGTTTGGCACTGTATACTAGCAGCCAAGAGATATAAACTTTTCTGAGGTTAATGTTTGGCTTCATAGAAAATTCATAAAGGTCTATTAGTTTTGTTTCACTTAAAAATTCTAAAGCCAGAAAATTATAACACACATAAAATCTCATTTTATTTATGATATACTCAGAAAAACTGTACTTCTTGAAAATGAGTCCAAGACTCATTTTAAATAAATTCTAATTTAACATATGTGAAGGATCAAAAAGATAAACTACATGATGTATTTTGAAAATTCCACTAATCAAAGAAAGACTAAAAGGGGAATGTTTATCCTACTTCGGAGAACAATTTACTCACTTTAATTAATGTGTGTGTAATACACACACATATACACACACATATATATATGTTTATTGCTAATAAATAAAATAAACAATTATTAATAAATAAGTACTTTTAAAATTCATTGAAGCAAATATCTAAAGGCATTCCTTTGAGTAATCTAGTTAGAATAACTATTTGTACCTTAAAGTAATAAAATTGTATGCATGTAAAGCATCTATTATTCAATATGAAGCATATAGCTGGTATTCAGACAGGCTTCCTTTTTTCAATGTTAATTTGAATTACTGTTATTCTAATCTCAATGTTTTTAATGGTCTTCCATATATTCTTACAAAATTCCAAAATGAAGAATTAATCCATTAAGAAAGTCACATTTTAAAAAATCACTTAATCAGAAGGACAACTAATATAATAGAAAGAGCTGTGTTTTAGTCCCAGCTATTCTGTTTACTGTGGGTCCTTCACTATAGATCTTTTTATCCTTTTGTAGAATGGGGTATATTTTCTTATCTTTCTCACAAGTTTGCTGTAAGGCTCAAATGGGATAATGTGGTAGTACAATAAAATGTAACATGTATTTTTGTAGGCATGCCGTCACAGGAAGGCAGAAAATTATTTAGGGGCATTATCAGTGGGAACTTCACAGAATAATTCATTACTCAATAACTATATGGAAAAAGAATACTTTCTGCTAAAAGCAGTAAGGAAAAGCATTGAATGGATTACGCTTTATGTTTTTTTTCTTTAATTTTCATTTCCCTTTTGGTATTCCCTGTCCTCATTACAGCCACAGAGCAGGGAAGCCACAGTGGCAAGAACACTGGGTTTGGAGTTAGAAGATCTAGGTTGAGGCCTCACCTCACCATTTATTCATTTTGTAACTTTAGGAATTACAGATAGTTTTGTGTATTACATGAGATAATGTATGTGAAAGCCCTGTGTAAATCATGAAGTGTTATTCACGCGTAAAGCAGTGCACTGGAACTCTGTGTGATCTCTATAGTGAGATCTACCTGAAAACTGCTGTTACAATTATATATTAACAAACAGTAGTCTGATAAAGGCTGTTGGGTTGGAAGAAGCATGTCTCTGAGCGACCTGGGATCAAGTCTAGACACTTCCATTTCCTAGCTCTGTCACCTTTTAGGACTCTTTTTTTTAAAAACAGATGTTTTTTTCCTCCTCAAACGAGTAGTTAATCTAACCTCTCTCTATGGTACCTTACAACTATCCATTTCTACAAATACAAGTTGACCACAATAAGTTGATAACCTGAAGAATGGAGAGTCTGACATGATAAATCATTAGAATCAGTAGGAGAGCAAGGATTAATGACCTCATTTCCTTATTAGCATTCTATTATCCAATATTCAATCTAGATTTATAGAACCCAAATGTTCCCATGTCCACAGTTAAATAAACCTGAAAAAAATCCACATAAGTTTACAATTAAGAGGGTCAAATTCTATTTTATTACCAACATTCTCTGTCTTTCTCAGTGCCACAGATAAAAAGGAAATCAGCAACTTTTTACATTCAGGTCTGTGGGAAATACCAGTAACACTGGCCACTTCGAGAATTTGGAATCTTAAGAGTTTTCGCATGAAATCTCAAAAAACTAACAAAAGTGTAATTTCTAGCATCTGTTTTCATACCTAGATCAGACTTGAGCTGTGAGGTAGCGGTCTCCAACTCCCCTTTCTGTTGTCGCTCCTGTGCCAGTAGTTCTTGGTTGGTCTGAATAGAAATGCGTTAGGGCAACACAGTTTTGCTGCAAAATTTGCACCTGAAATCGTATAAGAAAAACTCCTTTTCTGTAAGGTAAAGATTTCTACTAAGCTAACTTATAGCACAGGCGTAAGGCAGATTTTTCTGATCTTAATGTTCCTGGAGGAAGAAGTGGTGTTTATGTGTTACAGTTAAAGATCTCAACAGAGTGCAGTGTCTTACAGCAGCGCTGTCCAGGAGAACTTTCTGTGCACTCTTCAATAGCACTCAAAATGTGGCCAGAGTGAGTGAGGAATTGAATCTTTAATTTTGTTTAATTTTAACAAATAAAATTAATTTTTATTTAAATAGCCACACGTGGCTAGTGCCTACTATATTCGCACTCTAAAGTACAGTAATAAAGGATCATTTGCAAATTCTTTAAGTAGAATCCTCTATATAATTCCATTGTGAAGGACAGCACTCATTAAAATAATAAAAATTATGTAATCCAATAATAGGTATTATGATTTGAAACTACTAATTGCCTTGGTACTTAGAATTTAAAATATTCTAAATTACATATAGATATTTCAAATAACAACTTTGATGAAAGCAAAAATATTATGCTAAAATAAATAATGAGCCTTGAAAACAGCAATGTAAACACATTCCTGATTATTTGACTTATTCCTTGCTTCAAATGTCAGCTCAGTTTAATCTTTCTTTTCTATGCACATCATATACAATACATATAACAAGAGACTAGGTCAGTGCCTTCCAAAATCAATTCTTGTAACAGAGATTATATGGTGTAGAGGGAAGGATTCCCTCCCAGGAACTAAGAGTTCACTTCTGTAAAGCCTGAGACAAAATAACCTCTCTGTCCTTAGCTCCCTCATTCATAAATTAAGAGCACTGGACTAAATGGCATCTGAGTCCTTTCTTATTTTGCACTAAAATTTTTAAAATTGTAGTAAGAATGTTAATAGAGGAATACTAAAGAAAAGAATTTAGGGCTTCCCTGGTGGCGCAGTGGTTGAGTCCGCCTGCCAATGCAGGGGACATGGGTTCGTGCCCCGGTCTGGGAAGATCCCACATGCCGCGGAGCGGCTGGGCCCGTGAGCCGTGGCCGCTGAGCCTGCGCTCCGCAACAGGAGAGGCCACAGCAGAGAGAAGCCCGTGAAAAGCAAAAAAAAAAAAAAAAAAAAAAAAAGAAAAGAATTTAATAAATCTAGAGGAAATAAGCAAAACTATAGGTTTGTAGGTAAAACATTAGCTTTTCCCTTTTGGTTTCACTTTCCCAACATAAACAAGGAGAGAAAATCTCTCTACCTGTTTCCGTTCCACCTCCACTGTTGATCCCATTTCTTGTATTTTGAGTAGCATGGCTGATCCAGGTTTCTCAAGAGATTCCCTTAGGTGCTTTTCTTCAGACAGTCATCTCCTTAGCTACAGAGCAACACTGCAGTTAGGCAAGACCAAGGGAACTTCATAGCAGTTTAACAAAGATCAAAGTCACCATGAAAAGTTTACCAGACGTGCCATCTCACCCCCATTCTTCGTTCATTTATGACTACTCAGAAACATGCTTTTGTTTCTCCCTAACAGATAACCTTCTAAGAAATGCAGAGTCAAATTTTTTACCCTCATCTTCCTACTGTGTAAGTCTGTTTTCCAAACTGTGGGTCAAGACGCATTAGTAAGTTGCAAGAAGCACTTGAAAAAGGCAGGGGAGAAAAGAATAGAAAGAAAATATCAGAGCACATAGCAAGTAGTAAGGAAGGGTAAGTACTGCTTCATGAAATGTTTGTGTATATGCATGTATGTATGGTGTTGCAATGTAAAATATTATTGCTGTCAAGTTTGAAAAACACTAATATGTCTTAGTATATGTATTTTCTGTATTTCTCTATTTTCTAACTTTATTTTTTAACTCTTTATTTTCCTGTATTTTGATTTCTTCAACTATATATATATATATATATATATATTTTTTTTTTATCCCATAGTATTATAAACATTCCTCTGAAAGCTGTTTCAATTATGTATCGGAGTTTTTTTTTCATGTATTGGAACTTAAAGATCAAAACAAATAATGAAGTAGTTGTTAAGCAGCAGACAAAAACAACACTCAAGAATTTGGGTACACTGACCTTAATTCTATCAATAAATGACTACAAAATGAGTCAGATAAAGATAAAAAGAAGGTTAAGAGTCTCTTTTATCATGAAGTAAAGAAATCCTTTCTAATTTAAATGGGAACTGAAAATGCTGTTCCTTTTATGAAGTGACGTTAAATTGAAAGAATTTCTTTTTTAATTTATTTACTTATTTATTTATTTTTGGCTGCGTTGGGTCTTCGTTGCTGCGCATGGGCTTTTTCTAGTTGCGGTGAGTGGGGGCTATTCTTCATTGCAGTGCATGGGTTTCTTGTTGTGGTGGCTTCTCTTGTTGTGGAGCACGGGCTCTAGGTGAGCGGGCTTCAGTAGTTGTGGCACAGGGGCTTAGATGCTCCACAGCATGTGGGATCTTCCCGGACCAGGGCTTGAACCCATGTCCCCTGCATTGGCAGGTGGATTCTTAACTACAGCGCCACGAGGGAAGTTCCAGAAATTCTATTTGTAAACATGATGTAAGAGTACACTTTATAACTCTTCTCTACATTGTACATATGTACTTTATATGTGTTTTCTTGAAGGATGATATATTTAACAATTTCAGAAGTTTTTAAAAAGTGAAATGAGATGAAAAATATGTTGACATGAAATAGTTACAAGATAGCCCGTTCTGGAAATGTTCTATGATTTTCTTAACCATACACCTAACACTGAACATTTGGATATTTCCAGTGTTTTGCTATTCTAAATACTGTTCTGAACATGCTTGTGAATCAATCTTTCATTGAATTTCTGATTATTTCCTTGGGATAAATCCTACAAAAGGAATCACTAGGTTAAAGGTATAAACATTTTTTAGACTTTTGATACATTTTGTAATTCTCCTTCCAATTTTACCTTATCAGTAGTATTTGAATAAATATCATCAGCACTACAGATTATCACTTTCTTAAATCTTTGCTAATAAATGAAAAACTCCTTAATATTTTTTTCATTTCTTTGGTTCCTAGTGAGATTAAACATTTTCTAATATGGTTATTAGTTCTTTATATATTTTCTGAACTGTTCTTATCCTTTGCCCTCTGTTTTTTTTAAGTCAATTTAAGTTCTTTAAAAGGGAAGATTATTAACTGTCTAGTTTTGTTATGTTTCATTAGTTTTGTTTTATACATGTATAAGATTTTAATTTTTATATGGTCAAACTTATCGAGCTTTTTATAATCTTGTTCCTTCTTTTCAAGATTAGAAATTCCTTCCTTATCCAATAATCAGTTAAATATTAATATTAGAATCTTATTTAAGAATGAGCTACAGTTTTTGCTTTGGGCTATATTTTTCAGGTTTTATTTTAGTATCAGATTATAATCACTTTATAATTTAGAGTAGCATAATATACTTTTCTAAGCTCTACATCGAATTATATAATTTTCTCAAGATATAATTTAAGTGCCTTATAAAGGGAATCTTTATTTGATAATTATACTACTAAGATATTCATCCCTAAAGCATTATGAAGGGCTATCAGTTAATCTATTTCATGTTCATCAGAACCAGATTTTATATATATATATATATATATATTTCTTATCTCTTAGAAAGATATATACCGCATTTACTTTATCTTTGTATAGTCCTTTATTATGGGCTGAATTGCATCCCTCTGAAATCCATATGTTGAAGGCCTAAACCCCAGTATCCCAAAATATGACTGTGTTTGGAGATAGGGCCTTTAAAGAGTTGTTTAAGTTATGAGGCCACTGGGGTGGGCCCTAATCCAACATGACTGTTGTCCTTATAAGAAGAAATGTGTACACAAAGAGACACCAGGAATGTGTACACAGAGAAAAGACCATGTGAGGACACAGAAAAAAGACAGCCATCTGCAAGCCAAGGAGAAGGACTCAGGAAAAAACCAAAACCTGCTGATGATATCTTGATCTTGAACTTTTCACCTCCAGAATGGTGAGACATAAATTTCTGTTGTTTAAGCCACCAGTCTGTAGTACTTTGTTATGGCAGCCCCAGCAGACTAATAATACATCCTTCCTGCTTCACATACCCTCAAAATGTCCCCATTTGACTAGCACAGTCCTTCTTCAGGTCCTTGACAAGTTCAATAAAAATTCAATATTTTACTATAGCACCAAGAATTAAGACTTTCCCAATAAAAAAATAATGTTAAGTGGCAATCCAAAGGAAAGTCTTTTCAACAAATGGTGCTGGAACAACTAGACATACACATACACAAACTCACCCAAAGAATCTTGATACAGACCTCACACCTTTCACAAAAAGTAATTCAAAACCTAAATGTAAAATGCAAAGCTATAAAACTTCTAAAATATAACATAGAAAAATCTAGGTGACCCTGGGTTTGGCAATGATATTTTATTAATAGATATAATACCAAAAGTACAATCCATGAAAAAAATGGATAAATTGTACTTCATTAAAATTAAAAGTGCCTGGGGCTTCCCTGGTGGCGCAGTGGTTCAGAGTCCGCCTGCCGAGGCAGGGGACACAGGTTCATGCCCCGGTCTGGGAAGATCCCACATGCCGCAGAGCGGCTGGGCCCATGAGCCATGGCTGCTGAGCCTGCGCATCCGGAGCCTGTGCTCTGCAACGGGAGAGGCCACAGCAGTGAGAGGCCCGCGTACCGCAAAAAAAAAAAAAAAAAAAATTAAAAGCGTCTGCTCTGCAAAAGACACTGTTAAGAGAATGAAAAGATAAGCTACAGATTGGGAGAAAATATTTGTAAAACACAAACTGGATAAAGGATTGGTATCCAAAATATAAAAAGAACTCTAAAAACTCAACAATAAGAAAAAAAACCCAGCTGCAAAGTGGGCAAATGATCTAAGATACCTCACCAAAGAAGATAGACAGATGGCAAATAAGCATATGAAAAGATGTTCAATATCAACTCTGTAGAAAACTGCAAATTAAAACAAGATACTATACACACGCCTATAAAATTGGCAAAAATTCGAAACACTGACAACACAAAATGCTGGTGAGGATGTGGAACAACAGGAACTCTCATTCACTGCTGGTGGGAACACAACATGGCATAGCCACTGCAACAGGTTGGCAATTTCTTAGAAAGCTAAACATAAGCTTATCATAAGTATGAATCGTACTCCTAGGTATTTATCCAAAGGAGTTGAAAACTTATGTCCATACAAAAAACTGCATATGAATGTTTACAGCAGCTTTATTCATAACTGCCAAGCTTGGAAGCAACTAAGATGTCCGTCAGTAGGTGAATGGATAAACTACAGTACATCCAGACAATGGATTATTGTTCATTGATAAAAAGAAATGAGCTATCAAACCATGAAAAGACATGGAGGATTAAATGCATATGCTAAGCGAAAGAAGCCAGTCCAAAAAGGCTACATGCTGTATGATTCCAACTAGAGAGACAGTGAAAAGATCAGTGGTTGCCAGGGGCTTGGGGAAAGACAGGGGTGGGGGAGGGAGGCGCGGGGTGATGTGTATGTAGAGCACAGGGCATTTTTAGGGCAGTGAAACTATTCTGTATACTGTGATGACCAAAAAGTAAAACTTAATCTAAACTGTGAATTTAGTAATCATGTATCAAAACCGGTTCATCACAGACTAATACAGAATGTGAATAATGGAGGAAGCTCTGGGGGTGGGGAGAAAGGATATATGGGAACTCTTGTTTCTGTGCAATTTTTATAAAAACTTAAAACTGCTCTAAAAAGAATCTATTAAAATAGCCAAAATATTTTTTTAAAGCATGAAACAATATACTCCAACTAACAATGAACAATCATGCTTTTATCAGTAACTATTGGCAAATAAAATACTCTACGAGAGAATGTCCCAGATAGCTACACTCACCACCCTAAACACACTGAAATTCATAATTTTTAAAATAGTATATCTATTTCTCTGTTTTGTATAACAGGATATTTTAAATATAACTTGATCCTTTTGATTTGGACTAATGTCAACTATTATTCTGTCAGGGAATATTGAGGTTTTTAGGCCACTGTCAAGGTGTATTGAATTGGTAATTCTTCTGACTCTTCCACTGTTTTCAGCTGCAAATTTTTAGTCCAACAACTTTTAGCAGCCACCTACTCCATAATTCCAATCTGTTATCTACTTAAATTTAGACTGAAATGAAAGTTTTAAGGTAAAATTAGATGAGCAGACTTATTAAAAGCTTTTTATTTTAAACACAACTTTAGTGTAAAAGGTCTTTGTATGTCCACTTAACTCTAGTATATGGGCAACTGCATGAGTTTCATGGTAACTGTTTCCCTCCCGGCTCAGAAAGCATTTATTTTTTATTTCTGGTTTTGTGGTAGTATTGAGGTGAAAGGAAGTCTTAATGTCACATACAGGCAGGTATAACTTCATGTGGCATATTTTTAAAATCTTCCTAATAAACAGCCACATATTTTCTTCTTCAATGGTTTCTTTTTTCTATCCACTTCCTTGACTTCCCCCTCTGCAATTCCAACGCCCCCGTCACCTTCCAGCTTCCTTTTTATCTTACCTCCTGAATTTTAAGGTTCATTTTACATTTTGTGGTCTTCAGTTCCTCTTCAATAATGGCTGCATTCTTCTAAAATAGAAGGAGAAAAGGTTCTAAATAATCTGAAATGACAGGAAGAAACTGTCTATGGTATATCACAGTTCAAATCTAGACTTTTTTGGGGCAACCTATAAATGCTATTCTGAATACAGTTATAAACACTTCTTATTATGAGTCTAAAGTAATTATTACAATGAGATATTTAAAGTTATTTTATTACTTTGATTCATGACTTCTATCATTTTCCCTTTCAGATAATTAAAAAATGATTAGTCACATGTACCTCCTATGTAAAATTCAATAATCAGAGGAAAACCTAGTAATTGCTATACATTTTTCTTACAGGGTATATTCCTTTTTTTTTTAAGTACTCCATTTTTTCTAGCCTCAAATATTATCTATGCTTAGGAGTTGAGGATGAAAAACACAGCTTTCACTATTCATTCTCTTTTATATTATTATTAATAGCACTACAATCTAAGATGTAAAAAATCAAAGCTGTCTTTGCCTTATTCTCTACCTTCAGCCCCTATCCAATACCACATTCTAACATATCTTTCCTCTCAAAATGTCACAACCGTAATTCAGACCTAATAAAGTCTATGTCTCAAATAAGGCAATGGATTCCTAATTGGTTTTCCTATCTCCAATCTCTTCTCCTATAATTGATACTCTACACTACTGCTAGATTAGTTTTCTTGTTTTCATTATGTCACTTTCTTATCAAAAACTTAATCACTCCCCATAGGATCAAGCCCAACTACTTGATTATTCTTGATTTTGAATCCTCTATGAGGTTATCCCTAGCCAATTTCCAACTTATTTTACACAAACAAATCCTCACTCCTGTCCAGCTAGTTTATGCATTTCCTCCTAACTGCACCCAAGGGAAAGATCTAGGTTCAAATCTGACTTACAGGAAGAAAACAGGCAAGTGTGATCTCAGAGAGGTGACTTCTCTCTGAGCCCCAGTACACTTATCATTAAAATAGAGACAATAGGGCTTCCCTGGTGGCGCAGTGGTTGAGAGTCTGCCTGCCGATGCTGGGGACACGGGTTCGTGCCCCGGTCCGGGAAGATCCCACATGCCATGGAGCAGCTGGGCCCGGGAGCTATGGCCGCTGAGCCTGCGCGTCCGGAGCCTGTGCTCCGCAACGGGAGAGGCCACAACAGTGAGAGGCCCGTGTACCGCAAAAAAAAAAAAAAGAGAGAGACAACAATATCCTACATCTTGAGGTTTTGCAGAGATTAAACAAAACATGTTTTAAACAAAATAACATCTGTTACACTGCCTGGCCTGTGAAGGGAAAACAAAATCATTTGTTTTTTTCCCCAGTCTTATTTTTTGCTGCCCCTGTGTGTGGTCTTTTAAATGTCCTCACCTCACTGCTTTGCCTTCTAAAGGTTCATCTCAAGTCCCGTCTCTTCCTTGAAGCCTAGCCTAATCTATTCTAGACAGGGCATGCGCACCTTCCCAAACCCACCTGAATACAGAACACTTATTGGCAATATTTGCTTATTGTCCTATACTGTCCTTTAATATTTCTTATACCCTTATTTTCTCTCTTTAGTTTGTCCTGCTATGCCTTGTTCTCCCAGCTAGCATATAAGCTCTTGAAGAGCACAGACTCCCTCATATCTCTGGATCCGCACAGTCACATGTAGAGGGTAGGAATCTATAAATACTCAATTACTGACAGCACACAATGTTATAGGCTATCGATGTAGATAAATTTCAGATGTCAAGAATCCTCACACCAACATCACCTATTTTTAAAAGTCAGTTTTATGGGTCTGTTGCCTCCTCCAGCTAACACAGTAACAGTGCGTTTGTATTCAAGAACTCTGGACTCAAGCCTTTGTCTCTGAGGCAAGCTGCAGAGTCACAGTCAACCTTTGCACCTCATCTTGTGCCTTGTCTTCTTTCTCTTTTACATCTCTTAGTTGCTGGCGCAAATTCATCACTTCCAGTTGCAATAGCTTCAGATCCCTGGAATGCTCCTCCTGTATTGTATTCAATCTTTCCTTCAGAAAATCTATCAGACAGGACAGGAGGGTCATCAAGCAGATCAAAGAAGGTCAGGAAAGGAAAAGAATCATGAACTCATCAAGCACCCACACAGGACCGAATTTCTGATGATTCTCTTCTCTCTATACCTGTTTTCTGTGGGTTCAAATCTTTTTCAGTTTGCAGACGAAGATGTTCATCTTCAAGGACTGGATGAGGCTTTCCAGACGGCACATTCGATTTACCAAAACTCACAGTTCTTCCATAAAATATCTGTTTTTCCTGAACAAATTATTTCATTCTGGATAGGGGCTAATGATGTTCTGGCTCACAGGCTCCTCCAAACGTTTCGGAATTTGCAAGTGGCCTCTGGACAAAGATCCCAATATAACAATATTATAGGGTAATCCCAACCATCGAATCAATGTAACATTTCTCCTGAGTATAAAAACTATATTCTTTAGTTAACCAGTATCTGATAGCCTCTGCAAATTTAAACATAGAGAGCACTATTAGGTAAAGAGGATGAGACCAATGTGGGATGGGTAAAGACCACTGATTTTTTTTTTTTTTTTTTTTGCGGTACGCGGGCCTCTCACTGTTTTGGCCTCTCCCGTTGCGGAACACAGGCTCCAGACACGCAGGCTCAACGGCCACATCTCACGGGCCCAGCCGCTCCGCAGCATGTGGGATCTTCCCGGACCGGGGCACGAACCCGTGTCCCCTGCATCAGCAGGCGGACTCTCAACCACTGTGCCACCAGGGAAGCCCAAGACCACTGATTTTTTAATGGTTATTTTAATTGGAATTTTTTGTAAACTTATCTTGTATGTAAAAGCAAGTGATATATAAAACATGTTAAATGCTAATTCTATAATGGTAAACTAAGAATTAAAGTTAGCATGGAGGCAGTATTTCACATCCTTTTTAGAAAAGTTTTAAACAAGGTGATAATAAACATTCCCATTTTGTTCTAACATACTCAACACTGGTACAAATTTAATCTTTGCTGAAGAGTTATTTATTCTATGTGTGCTATACCAACTATACTAATTTTAGGTCTTCATAAGAGACATTCAGGAAATACATACGTAATTTTAAAGAAAATCACACCAGTAAATTCAGCATTGGCCACTTAAGCACCCAGATTCCTCAAGGCCTTTGACAATCTAACTTTTAATGGCAATAACTTCTTCAGGAGCACAAAGGAAAAACACAGTTCTTCTTTTGAGTACTTCATTCTAAACTATGAATTTTTTTTAAGACTTATAGCCTCTCTTAATTTACAATAAATCTGGAGAAAGAAAATAAAGACCATATTAATGCATGAATCAAGTTGTAGATGTTCGCCTTAACTAATATCAAAATCTATTCTTATTTTTAAAAAAGGACCAAATTTTTTTTCTAATTATATAAAAAATTACATTTGTTTTTAATCAAGTATTGAGGGAGAATAGGATATCGAAGTTTGTACACCTAATTAACACACTTTAAAAATCTGTTTAGAATAGTGGTAGTAGGACATTACAGCAGGACATTACAGCAGGACAACTCTTTATCTTGCAAATATTTTCTAATTAATATTCTAATGTTATTTCTCAATTCTTTTCTAAGTACCTATTTCACCTGCCAAACCACCCACACTGTGACTCCTTATGAGTAACCAGTGAGGCAAAATTCTTCAACCTACAAAGATATTGTGACACAATTTTTTAATTTCTTACCTTTTTTCACCAAAGTCCAACATTATTAGGTCATCCCTCAGAGAACTGGTCTGTTCCTCAACTATTCTCATCCTTTGCTGAAGTACTGTGACTGTTTCAGAAGCTGTAGCATTGATGCGGGCTGGAGAGAGGACTGGTCTGGACATTGTAGTTTCCATATGCACCTGAGATTAAAGTCACAATATTAATGTAGTTGGTTCTATTATTGTTCAAAATAGCCACTGCCCCTTCCTGTGGAGGATTATACATCCCTGTCCTGTTGAGCTTGGAAATGGCCATGTGTCCTGCTTTGGTCAATTAAATGTGGGTAGAAGCTTTAAGAGCCAACTTGTCATTCATCATCTCTTTTCCCTTCTCCATGCGATGACCAACATCCCAGATAGGGCCTGCTCCATGTGCCAAAATCCCAGAGTAAAGACTACATGAGCAGAGCCATGGCCCATCCACGACATACAGTGTGAGTGAGCAAGAAACTAATGTTGTTATAAGCCGCAGATTGTTAGGTAGTTTGTTACTGCAGCACAATCTAGTCTATCCTGTCTGCTACGATTAGACATACACTAGGACCTATGACTTGGCTGAAGGAGTTATTACCTCTTTTCATTGCCAGCCATTTTCATTTTAACATATTCCCATCCAACCTTTCTGAAAACAAAACAACACTCTACAGTACTTGGATCTCCGAGCAGTTGTCGTAAAATAGATTTACCAACTACCTTGAAGCAGTGACTTTTAAAAATAACTTGCAAACATAACTCCATAGCAAAGACTCTTTTACACCTACTGACATCAAATTTCCAGACTCCTCCCGCAAGACCACGTGAGAGTAAATGGGGGTAGTGCGACTACTCTTTCAGGTATTAGTGACAGAAGCAGAATCAGCTTATAAGCAGTCCCAACATTTAAACGAATCATGTGCCCAAAGTTCAATGACAAGATCATTGGTGGAAACTTTAAGGACGTTTTCCTGCAACTCTATCCTGTACAGACATTTCTATACTAATCAATCAATAAACCTTAAGCATCACTAGCAATAGTGTATCTGTGGGAATGTGTTCACAAAGGCCCCACCTGGGATATTCATAATACACCTTTCTCTCCCACTTACTGTGTGATTAGATACCTCCCTGAGGTATCCCAGGCAATGGAAGTGGGGACTCCCTCAGGTTCAAGTCACTGAAGGTGGTCCCCAGGACCCAGGGAAGGAATTAAAGAAGTCTTAAAACTGGTGGCAGGATTTAAGGGGGCACCAGCGTAAAGGCTGAGCTTCTTGCCAGTGTAACACTGTTACAGCCACTGAGGACAGCTCTTTAACCATCTCCTATTTTTCCCCCACAGGTCCCAGAATATGGCCTGTTTCTCTCTTTTTACTTAAAACAAAACAAAACAAACCCCAAACAAACAAACAAATACTTTACTGAGGAATAGTTGACAAATATAATTGTATACATTTAAAGTGTACAACATGATGATTTTATATACATATACCTTGCAGAATGGTTACCAAGATCAAAATAATTAACACATCCACATAATTAACAACCTCACATAGTTAACATAAGTAACTTTTTTTCTTTGTGGTAAGAATACTTAAAGATCTCTCAGCAACTTTCAAGTATACAATACCATATTATTAACTATAGTCACCATGTTATACATTTGATCCTCAGAATGTCTTATTTGAAAAGGCAACCTACAGAATGGGAGAAAATATTTGCAAACCATATATCTGATAAAGGGTTAATATCCAAAATATATAAAGAACTCATACAACTCAGTAGCAAAGGAAGAAATAATCTAATTAAAAAATGGGCAGAGGGCCTGAATAGACATTTTTCTAAAGAAAATATACAGGTGGCCAACAGGTACATGAAACGATGCTCAAGATGACAAATCATCAGGGAAATGCAAATCGAAATCACAAGATAGCAGCTCACACCTGTTAGAATGGCTAGTTTTAAAAAGACAAGAGATAACAAACGTTGGCAAGGATGTGGAGAAAAGGGAACCTTACGTACTGTTGGTGGGAATGTAAACTGGTACAGCCATAATGGAAAACAGTATGGAGGTTCCTCAAAAAATTAAAACTTGAACTACCATATGATCCAGCAACCCCACTCCTGGGTATATATCTGAAGGAACTAAAATCAGTATCTTGAGATATCCACATATCCATGTTCACTGCACCATTATTCACAATAGCCAAGAGATGGAAACAACCTAAACGTCCTTCAGTGGATGAACAGATAAAGACATATATGGAATGTTATTCAGCCACATGAGAGGAAATTCTGCCATTTGCAGGATGAATCTGGAGGGCATTATGCTAAGTGAAATAAGCTGGACAGAGAAAAAATAGTGTGTGGTATCACTTATATATGGACTCTAAAAACCAACCAAACAAAAAAATCTGATTTCATAGAAACAGAGAATAGAATGGTGGTTGCCAGGGGCTGGAAGATAGGGGAAATGGAATGATGTAGGTCAAAGGGTACAAATTTTCTTTTTATTCTTATTTTATACTCCTGACCAAGATTTCTCTCCTTTGTGCTCCTCTATAAAACAGAATGCATTTCTGACACACATAACCTTTTTGAATTCTTTAGATTTTCTGTTAACAATCAGCTTAAGGACAGGGGGTAAAGAAGTTCTCTTCTATTAACTGCTTTTCATGCTTTCAATTCACTCTTGAAGGGAATGACAAAAGTAGACACAGATATAAATAGAGTCTCTAGATACACAAAGATATGAAGTAAGGTTCATCTACATTTCTGAAAAAAGCCAGGTTTGGAATTTCCTGCTCAGGTTACCACATGGGCCAGGATAGTGTCCCTCAGGTAACAGAAAGAAGAACCTCAAAGACAAACCTTAGGGCTGGTTCTACTGCCATGAAACCAGGGCTAGGGTTGGGGGAACCACCAATAGTGTGGGGTGGGAAGAAAATAGAGAGGTAACAGTGAAGAAACACCAGATGGGTTTACCCTCCATTCCATTTTCTGTCACCTGCTGTCTGGCTACTGCCAACATAGAAATAAACCAGGCCTGGGGTTGGGAGAAAAAGTACGGAAAGGGTGTTTAATGGGGTTTGTGACAGGCAGTTGGCTCCTTTGTCCTCCCTCCAAAAGAAGTTGAAAAGTTCATGTCTCCACCCTCCCTTACAGCTGGCACATCCATGTGACATATCCTGGCCAGTGAGATTTTGGCAGAAGTTTGCAAGAAGCTTCTGGGAAGACTTTTTTTTTTTCCTGATAAAAAGAACAGAAATGATGGCACCTGTCCTTTCCTTCCCCTGTATGATGCCCGGAGCTCTGAGGGCTCTCTTTAAGTCAGCCATGCAGTACCTCACTGTTAAATGTAAACAAAGAGTCTGGGATCACCAGCATCTGAGAAACAAGGAAAAGGCCAGAGAAGCCCAGATTAACCTGACTTACTAGTAACCTCCAAACTTTGCTTATGTGAGAAATATAAACTTTTGTTTAGTCATGCTTTCCTGTTGCTTGCAACAAAAGCAGTCCTGGAATACATAGTAGTCCCAGATAATAGTTGGTAGAGAGATGGGAAGAAGAAGGAGGTACAGAAAATGACAAGCAGTGCTGGAGGTGGGAGGGGAGGGCAATTTCTGTGGCAACTTGTTAGGCCCAGGGAGCTGGTTATAATATAAAGGACTGTCTAATTAATTTATGTCACAAGTCAGATACATAATACTAACACAAATATAAAAGTTCATTTTTGGTGGACAAGTTCAGTCAGGTATTGGGCATCTTTCCTGTTTTAAATTTAACATTTCCAAAACAACTCTTGATCTTTCCTCCTGAAACTTGTTCTTCCTAATAGGCTTTCATTGTCTCAGTTAATGGCAACACCATGCTTCCAGTGCATCCTTTCTCATCTAATCTATCAACAAAACCTATCTTTAAAATATGTCTGGACTCTGACCACTTCTTACTGTTCCGTTGCTAGTACCCTGGTGCTAGCCAGCGGCATCTCCCCAGGTTATCGTAGTAGCTTTACAACTGGTCTTCCTACTTTGCTGTTGTCTTTCTACCATCTCTGCCTGGCTACCATCTAGGCAGACTGATCCAGTTAAAAGTTAAGGTAGATCACAACACTTCTCCACTCTAAACCTTCCAATAGCTCTGAAAGTAAAGGCAGACCTTTACAATAGCCTTTAAGGCTCTAAGTAACCTGTCCTGTTATTACTCTCTGACCTTATCTCCCACTATTCTCTCCCTCACTCTGTGCTTCCCAGTCAAACTGACCTCCTTACTGTTTGTGGACCCATCAGGCCTTCTGACTTAGGGTCTTTGCACTCTCTGTTCTCTCTTTCTGGACCTTTCTGTCCCATCCAGATGTCACTCCTGTACCTCCTTCACAGGTCTTTGCTTAAATATCATCTCAGTGAGGTTTCCTTTGACCGCTCTGTTTAAAATGGAAGCCTGCACCACAGCCTCCCTCCCATCCTCTTTCCTACTTTTTCTCCATTGTACTTAGCACCAGTGAACAAACTATATATTTTACTTATTTCCTCAACTGGAATATAAGCTCCAGGAGGGCAGAGAATTTGTCTCTTTTGATCATTGCTGCATTACCTGGTGTCAAAACAGTTTCTGGCTCATGGTAGGCGTTCAGGAAATGTTTATTGGACATATGAGTAAATGAAGAAAATATTACTGACCAAATTATTTTCCAGTGGTTGTGGTAAGCAACACTGGCCTGTTACTTTGGAACCAACAGCATATAGTTGTAGCTATTGCCAGATATAAGAATGGAGCCTGTGTCTACAAAAGCAAGTGTTGCCTTTTCAAAGCCACCTGGCTTTTACTAGTATATTACTTATGACATTTGTCTTATTCATGCCATGCTTTCAGTGAGGTAACCTGAGCTCTCTGGAAATACTTTCCCTAAACATAGAGACAGCACTGTATTAATTTGATAATGATATATTTATGAAAGTAATTGTGAATTAACTTTTTTAAAAATAAAACCTTAGGGCTTCCCTGGTGGCGCAGTGGTTGAGAGTCCGCCTGCCGATGCAGGGGACACGGGTTCGTGCCCCGGTCCGGGAGGATCCCACGTGCCGCGGAGCGGCTGGGCCCGTGAGCCATGGCCGCT